GGGCCCCTCCCCGGGCAGATGGAGCTCGTTAGCCCTGTAAGGCAATCCATCTACGTCCTGAGGACCTCGCTGCCACCGTCCAAGCGTGCTTGGCCCCAGCAGATGAACCTCAGGATTAAAGGGTGGGCTCAGTTCCGCGCACACTGTGTCTCACCTAAAAAATCCAATGCGCAGGCTGGAAGGTGGAAAAACCTTCCCTGGTTCTTCGTTCGCGAAGAGACTGGCCATTATTGTTGATTATTGTGGGACCCTAAAGTTACACAAGTGGAAAGTCAATGTAGTTAATTTCCTGTAGTTAATCGCATGACTGTAACTAAAATGTTAAACATTTGTCTAAAAATTACTTTCATGTAGGAATGTGAATCTCTAAACTCTTATAAATAATTGTTATGCTGTTAAACTAGAGAGCAAATAAAACAGTTTCTAGGCTGACTCTGTTTAGAACTATGGTCATTTTTTCTTAGTAATTACCTGCCTTTATGAATGGCTGGTTTGAAATCATGTCTTCTGTTAAAATACTTTTTTAAGGCAATTTTTTGTTGGCAGGCCAAAATACCCTTGTGTTTAAAATGAATCCAAACCCTGATGATAACTTTGGAAACTTTCCAAAGCTTTTTCATTAAAAAAATGGATGTTCTTTTTCTTCAGCTGGTGGGTGCTAGTTTGCTCATTTCGTGATTGATAATCTTTTCTCCCACTTCAAAATGCCAGCCTGTGATACAGTCTTTGTGATTGTTTGTTGCCAGTTTTTCCTTGAATGGCAGGTTTGATACAGTATCCTGTCACTTAATGCAAATTAATTAATATAAGTTAACTCTGAGTGACATATATAAACAACATCTGTACCTATATTTGCATTTTACTTGTTGCAACTGATTTCTCTGTTCACAGTTGCTCTTGGAGGTGCTGTTACATATAATTAGTCTGCTGCAATTCAGGCTTTGCAAAATCTTTAAATTTACCAGAATGAAGGAGAATTAAGACTGTTTTACAGTCAAGATAAACTAAGGAAGGTGAATTAGCCACTGCCATTACTCTGAGACTGAGTTTCTGTTAGTGGTTTTTTTTTTACTCTGATCTAGATGGAAAAAATAATAAAAAAAAATCCTTCTTGTAGCATATCTGCCAATTCTCGGACTATGTCCCTGCTGTCACAGCTGGAGAAGATCAATTTGGACTCTGTATTAGGAGAATCAGACAGTGCCAGATATGTTACCTCCAAGATCCTTCATCTGGTTCAGAGTCAAGGTAATTATCTAAGTTTTGTGATTTTAGTAGTTTCCATTTTGAGTATTCCTTACTGTGTATCTTCCTTGCTGGACTTGAATTTTTGTTTTTGTTTAGTGAACTTGACTACCCATCTGTATTTTTCACTGTTAAAAGCATCTGTTTAAGTCCATGTTTAATGCTATCTGTTATAGTATTGGTTACACCGAGTTGATTTTGTGTTGTCAAACAACTGTATTTTCAGTAATAATTCACTTGATATATGTATATGTGTATATATGTATATCTATGAGAAGTAGGAGTATCTGGAAGGGAGCTTTCTTACTGATATTTTTCTTTACAGTCTTTTTTTTCTAGGACATGACAAGATTGTTCAACAAGTGAAAGCAAAAATGAGTTTTAAAATTGCTTGAGTTTTTTATTTAGTTTTATATATATACACATGCAGTTTTTAATAGGTTTTATTATTTGCAGTGTAGATATTCTGGTCATGTTGTAGATGATCACATATTTTATTTCTGCAAGCTAGTATTAGTCTTTTTCTCACTGACAGAAAAAACCAGGAAGGAGATGACTTCTAAGGGCTCCACTGGAATAGAAGTTATCCTGGCAACCCTAGAGGTAGAATCTTTTAATCTCTGTGGCTATGGGTGCATATGTTTAAATACTCTAAGACATTTTTTGTCACCTATCAGTTCAAATTGTTGTTTCATATTACAAAGTAGTTTTTAATTGGTTTTGTGGTTAGCGGGATGTTTAGCTGGGTGTTTGTACATCCTGAGTTCTACTTGATTTGGTGGTGGCAATTTCTTCTAGCTTTAAGTATTTAAACCATTGTATTAGACTGTTATGTTAAGCAAATATCTCTCTCTTTTTTGTTGCAGAATACAAAAGATCCTCAAACTATTCTAAATATATTGAATATTCTCATTGAGGTAATCTCAGTTGGTAAGTTTTCTGTAAGGGTTGACTTATGATTATATTCATACATTATTCTTCAGGCTTTTTTTTTTTTTGTTTTGGTTGGTTATTTTTTATTGGTTTTATTTTTTATGAGGCTTTTTATTATTATTGTTTTGAGTTTTTGTTTATTGGCATTTGCTAAGGTGAATTGATATGCAGAATTAAAAGAACATAAAGACTGAAGTCACCTTGCAAATAATCCTACACAAATAATTTTTATTGCAATAAGTTTAAGTCCAGCATGTCCTTGCATAGTGCAGTCACAAATGAAGAAAATATTGCTGTTCTAAATACTTATGATAACTGCATCTTAGATATTTAATTGCTCTTTGACTTTAGAGATATCAGCTCAGTTTTAATTTCTAGGTGGCGGTCGGAGAGCAGGTGTCTTGGTTACCAAAGGAGGGACACAGATCTTATTACAGCTGCTTTTGACTGCCAGCAAAGACTCTCCACCAAATGAAGAATTAATGGTGCTTCTTCATACTCTTCTTGCAAAAATTGGTCCAAAAGGTGATATTATAGCATAAGACATTAACGTTTTATAATTGAAACTTTAAAAGAGTTTCTTCCTATTGTGTAAGCATGTATGTACTCAGAATTGATAGAGAAGAACAAAAGGAGGAGTGAGATGGGGGAGGAAGAGTGGTGGGAAGTAGATACGCAGAGCTAACATTTACTTCTATCAGTAGAAGAAATTCAGCCATTTAACTTCTATTTTTTAATAATAATTTCAAAATTAGTGTGATTGATCTTGTATTTCTTTGACACCAGACAAAAAGATTGGCATGAAAGCAAGAATAAATGGTGTCCTAAACATATCATTGAATTTAGTGAAGCAGAATTTGCAGAACCACAGGCTAATATTACCATGTCTTCAAGTGTTAAGAGTTTACTCAACCAACTGTAAGTATTGCAGACAATTATTTTATTCTCTGTGTAATATAAAGTTTTTTACCCAGATAAGATTAAAATATCAGATTTTGATGCTTGTTTAATATTAAGTCTTTAAAATGCTTTCTTTCTGAGAATTTGCTTTTTATATCCTAAAATTGCTTATGTTCTAGAAAAAGCTGGGTTTTTTTAAACAGTCTTATGGGATGTGTGGAATTTTGAGCTATCCATTTTGCATAAATGCTGTTGTCTAAACATGTAAACCAGAAATGCTAACACTGTGCTTGCAAAAGCACTTAGAATTAAATAATTATTCTCCTTATTGTTCATGCTCATGTTTTTAATTTATTTTTTATTTTATTTCTTTATTGCTAATTTAACACTTAGTTCACACAGGAAATATCTTATTTCTAAATTTAACCTTTTCCTTAATCCTCGTGTACAGGTGCTCTACTATTGGGGTAATATTCTTCCACAAGACCCTAATTGTTTGGACAGGCAGTAGGAAGTTGATGAAAATAGTATGGTTCTTGCTGTATTTCTGCTGTCTGTTAGATGCGTTTAAGTTTTCCCTTTGAGCTCAAAAGGGTCATTAAACTTCTTAAATAAGTGCAAGAAATGGAAAACATGGCCATGTTTGCCCCAGAGAATGGATTTGATGATCTCTAAGATTATTTTTTCAGGACAGACATTGAGCAGCTATAATTCATAAACCTTAATACTTTCAAAATGGGAAAGCTTTATTTCTTTTGAGCTGACAGATAATGACATAAAGTGCTTCCAAACTGAGAAATTTAATACAGATAGTTACATTAGTTAACACTGCTTAGCTGAAAACTTACTTCATCCTGAAAATACGATACTGAACTGAGTCTCCAGTTCAGCTTCCTCTAAGATCAGTTCTGTATTTCTCTATTTCCCACTCCTTAGAAACATAAAAAGCAGTAGTTCATAGCATTCTGATGTGTAGAACTGTTTCAAGTTTTCAAGTACAGTTACTATTAGATTAAGTCCTAACTTTTCTTGGATTCTGGTGTAATGTTGCTGCTAATGATGAGGAAATTGCAACTGGGACTCACATACTGAGTTCTACACTAATAACAGCATTTGTTATGTTGAAGTCTTAGCAGCTGTCTTCCTGCTTTGTCACGAGCACATATTGCTTAACTCAGTCAGGAATTGAATTTCTGTGTCTGTTTCAGCAGTTTGTATTTTCAGTGGCTGTTGGACTTCAGCCAGGTATACTTTCGGTGCATATTTCTTGAACTTAATAAGTCTTAGCATAATTTCTTTTCATTTGCTCCCTTTCAAATGGGTTACTATTATAATATTTTTTCTGGGAACATGTGCTCGTAACATGCAGTTCAGGAAAGCTTATACCAATTGGCATTTTTAAATTTTATAGCAGACTCTTGGCTTTCAAACCCTGGTGAATATACCTGTCTATCCTAGTACTGAATTATAGTAGCAAGTCATAGAACCTAGTAAACTTGAAATTTTAGAAAGCCTGTTGTTTTGATAAACTGAATTAAGAAAATTCTTTTTTTAATGCATTTTAATAACAAAGCGGAAGCTTGTGTTGGAAGTAGTACATGATTTTATTTGTAAAGTAATAATTATGTCCTTTTTCTTTTTCAAGTAATATCAAGATTGGATTCTCATCTGATTATGTGTGGTGTGTCTGCCTGTCATTGTATGTCTTAAAACACAAGCATATCTAGCATTTTTTGTACTTCAAAGTTAACTTGTGTCAATTTTAGTTTGAGTATATTGATTTTTTTTCTTTTGCCTTTATTACTACATTATCTTAAAATGGATTGCTTTTAACTCTTCCAGCTGTAAATGCAGTATCTTTGGGAAAGAATGGAGTAGTAGAACTGATGTTTAAGATCATTGGCCCTTTTAGTAAAAGGAATACTAGCCTTATGAAGTAAGTAAGGTCTCTTTAATATAATATAATATAATATATGGTAAATATATATATATTTATATATATATTATATTTATATTATATATAAATATAAATATATATAATATAATATAATATATGGTAAAACCTTGTATATGCTTCAAAACTTACTTGTAAATTAAAAGTAGTATTAGAGAAATCAAACTTAATTATATTTGACTAATAAATGTTAATAAAGTGAAGGGAGTTGGGAAGTTTAATTTTACCCAGTAGAGTAACACAAAGTATTGTAATGTCTGCTTGCAGTACTGGTAAAATAAGTATTATTTTTTTGTCTCTAATATTCCTGCATGGAAAGTCTACAATGCTTATCCCCAAATCATGACAAACAGATCAAGACAATCCCATCATATTTTTATTTGTTTAATTGGCTTCTGCGTCTGCTTTGTGCTTTTAATGTGACACTATCCCTTTTATTTGGTAATAAAATTTTCTTTCTGTTTTACTTCAAATCAATTATAGACTCTCAGAGCAAGAACATAAAATATAGAGTAGGAAGCCCCAGCAATATTTGTCTAGTGGGCCATTGTGCTGTTGTGTTTAAAAAAACATAAAATTCACTGTGTAGCTGAAAGTGATGACTTTAGATTCCCATCCCCATGGTGGTTGACAGCTTTTGTGGCTGTTTTGGATTGTTTGGGGTTCTTTTGGGGTTTTGGTTTGGGATTTTTTTTAGTGAATTTAGGGTAAAAATTAACTAAGTAGATCTAATTGAAGATAGCCCTTCTTTATACACTTCACTTTTTTGAAGTACCTGCCTGTGGCAAACTAAATTTTTCATCTCACTAGCAAAATCATAATCTTGTACTGTATGTATTCTAACTTCAGTACAAAAACATTAGTGTTATGTTAACAAAATCTGGTATTTGTGGTCACAGGAGTATCTTTCAAAAAAAAAAAAAATCCTCTGCTCCTTTAAGCCCCAGCCTAAAATTAGGAACTTACTTTTCTATGATGTGAGTAATCATGATATCCTTGTTTATGATCTAAGATCATATACATGAAGTCTATCTTCACAAAGAGGGGAAAAATAAGTGTATATGTTTTCTAGTTGTGCTGTTTGAGTTAGTTGAAAAAATGACTTTATGTACAAGAAAAATCTCACACTGACCATCAGGTATGGTAGTACAGATTGATGGGTGTTGCTCCTCAGTATATTAATACACCACCAGTATTGACCTACAGTTTTTGAAAATAATGTCCTTTACTTTGTGGAAGTACTCGTTCTGCTGCTAACAAAACCATGAATTTCAGAACTATCACAACCACTGAGTGTTGGTCATAAACTTTACATAGTCACAATGTTTTTGCAAAAGCTGGAATTTTGGATAGCCATTGCATCGATATTTATGAAATTTTTCCATCAGACTTCAGATATAGCAGAGATATGTGATCTCTTAGTAAAATCAAATTTTAAAAGTGAAGTCTGTGATACAGTGCAACCAGGAGGTCTTGAGGTTAGACTTTATATGTCTGTTAGCAATAAGTGTCTTGTCTGGTTTTATAGTACTGTAGATTAAGCATACTGGTTGTTTGCTGTTTTGACTTTTCTTGTTATATTGACAGGGTTGCTTTAGACACACTTGCTGCATTGCTAAAATCAAGTAAGTGTTTGACAACAAGAAATTGTTTGTCTACTTGAGGTAAATATGTGTGTGCGTGTGTGTGTATAGATAGAGAAAAATTAACATTAAGTCTGTGGCCTAAACAAAATCAAAGTGAGGAAAGCTAGAAATAAGATACAGTTTTATCTACAGTGTCTGATGCTTTATTTATGTTGTATATAGCTATATATTTAATAATTAGTTACTGTTTCTTCAGTTATGCAGCAGAAGGGCTGCACTGCTTCTGCAGAACTGATCTGGATCTGAGGTGCCTTTTAGATTCACTCATCTCAGCCCTTCAATAATGGATGTCTATAACTCCTGTGCATCTTTTTTATATATATGTCTGAAAATAGCTGTGGATGTCGGGGGAAATGTAGGTATTCTTAAGTAATTCTTCAGAGTAATAAGGACTAGGGTCCTAATGAGAAGTTTGTCAGTGATGCTCATGAAGTGGAATCAAGGGTAACAAAACAACGGTCAGTTTCCAGGCACGGACTCTCTGATCCAGCAGCAAGAAAACAAATGCTGTCTGCGGATTTTGAACCAGGCTTGTAACTAGCAGGGAACTAAAAATTCATTTTCTCCGAACAGTAGTATTAAAGCTGCAACATTCCTAGTAGTTCCAGTGGAGTTGGGTAAGAACTGAGGCATGATTAGATTTGCAGAAAACTATTTCAGACAAATGACAGGAAATTTTGGTACTGACTGTCACGGTGCACTGTGTTTACTCATGTTTGTTCAGTGTGATACCTTGGTCCTCTGATTTGTGTATTTTAAAATGTTGCAATTTCTCCTTGGGAAATCCAGGGAAAGAAGTATTTCTGTATCATTGTCAGTGTTCTATTCTGTAAACTGGCAGCTAAACTTTAATACTGGAGAGAGAAATAAAGTGTTGAAAAGGTCTTTAAAAACAGGAGATCGTGTGCATTTATTTTGGGATTTTTTTTCTCTTTAGAGGTTTTGACATTGTAACATCTTACACTTCATATAAGTAAATCGCTTCTCAAAAACACTAATCTATGATGTGTGTAGTGCAGTTGTCATACTGATTACCCAGTATTTGGGGTAGAGGTATTATGAGTTTATCAAATTTGAGAGATAGTTACTGCAACACTGTGTGGACTGCAAGTGAAAAGAAGTTTGTTTAAAATATTTTGTCTACACAGTGTGTGTGGATAGATGTGCTTTGTAGAATTTTTTTTCTTTTTTAAAATTTGCTGGATGACATCGTTTTACCATTACCTTTAAGTGTAATGCACACTCTTCTGGTGAACCATGAAAATTACATGCAATATTATTTTAAGAATGAGGTTTAGACTACTGATCTCAGTTCTTCAGACATTTCTGTTTAGGTTGATGTAAAACTCTGCTAAGTATGGCTAAAATACTACTTAAAATAAAACAACTCACTTGGGTAAAAAGAGAAATTTAAACATTAATTTGAAAGTAATACTGAAGTAATTTGGTCAATTTCTAATTTTCTTTCCTACCTTTTTTTTTTTTTAAAGAAACAAATGCCAGGAGAGCGGTAGACAGAGGATATGTGCAGGTGCTTTTAACGATATATGTTGATTGGCACCGTCATGATAGTCGTCACAGATACATGCTGATACGTAAAGGAGTTTTGCAGTGCATTAAAAGTGTTACAAACATCAAACTGGGAAGAAAAGCATTCATTGATGCCAATGGGATGAAAATTCTTTACAACACTTCACAAGTAAGTGTGTCATGGTTGTTTTTTTTTTTTTGTTGCTGTTTTTTTCTCTAGCTTTAAAAAGATCCCGACCTCAAGTTCGTCATGTTTCTTTTATGAGATTCGTGATCAGTCCTGATTATGGAAGTAAGCATTATTTTCTGTAGCAGCCTGAAAGAGAATGAAAGAGTACATAATTAAATTAGTATTTGCTGTTATTTTGCTGTGGCTGTCTCTGGAAAGAATGGTTGAACTTAATTTAAAAAAAGATGAGGCAAAAAAATGCCTTTAATTTTGAAGTTTGGATTTTTAAAAAGGTGTGAATATGAGTTGGTAGAAGTTTTTCTGGCCTTCAAAGGAGACATTAGCAATTTTTTTGTAAACAAAATATAGATTTCTAGAATTTATTAATAGAGTAACTATTAGTTTGATAAATACTTTTTGTTATTTTCCTGTTAATAGGAGTGCCTTGCAGTAAGAACTCTTGATCCTCTTGTCAACACATCCAGCCTAATAATGAGAAAATGTTTTCCTAAAAATCGTCTTCCTTTACCAACTATTAAAAGTGCTTTCCATTTCCAACTCCCAGTTATTCCTGCCAGTGGTCCTGTGGCTCAGCTGTACAGTTTGCCTCCTGATGGTATAGTAATTTTGTAATACTCTGAGTATGTCTTTTGCTGCTTTATGTAGAGTGGAATCAGTTGCAGTTATTTGTATTCTGCACTAAAACTTGGACTTTGATGCTCTTCTTAACCAGCAAAGGGTCTGTGACTGTTAGTGTGTAGCACCAGTTTCTAATTTTAAGTGATGAAAATTTTGTCTATACCTGTGGTTATAAAATAAAAAAGAAAACAGCAGCTAAAAGGTGATGTTCATCAAACTCCAAAGTGTAAAGAAGAGGCTGTATACAAACTTAAATGGTCTTTCCTTTTAACTCACTTATCATATACATACTGCTGTGTGAAACGTGATGTAGTGTACATCCTGCTTTACAGGAGCATGTATTCCTTTCTTTCTGTGTTACCCTGATACCCCAGGGTGTGGTGAATTTATATTAGCATGTGCCACTTGAAGCATTGGCTTTTTTAAATTATTGTGGTTTTTCCTTCATTTGCATGATGAAAAAGTAGAGCTGCTTTCTTGGACTGTTGCAGTCTCTTAGAAAACACTTGTCTGCAAAGCATTTGTATGGTGCTTTGTAGGAAATAGATTCAGCCTGTTGTGAGCACTTGTCATTATTTTCAGAGAGTTAATGTTTAATGCGTATGCAGATATGGTGAAGCAGCTTCAGACCTGGGTAGGCAACTAATGAAGTTGCTGTCAGAAGTTACTCTAAAATGAAGAGGCAAAGTCAGACTTAATAATATCTTCTTATTCATAGTGTCTCGTGAAACAAAGCGTCATCAGAGTCTGAAAGAAGTAAGCTATCCTATTGAAGTTTAAATGTGTTAGCCTCACTCCAGGAGTAAGGAGACAAAACTTAAGTTTTGTCTTCACTGTATAAAATAGATCAAGAAGTGTGTTTCAAAATCCACAGAAATTAAATGTCCACTTAATACAGTGTGTTTGGTACTCTATAATACCTATTTAGAAACTTCCTAATCTGGTGAAGTGAACTACTGATGTTTTTTTAAGTGGGTTTGTTATCTTCCATAAAAAGAAGAGAACAACCTAAGGAAATAGGTGGGTAGAGGTCTGTGTTTTTTAAAAGTACAGTCTTGTATGGGCAGTATTGTAAAAGCAGTACATGTAGTTTTTCTGAATACACTAGAAAATCAGTATAATGTGTCAACTTCTGAGTGAGCCTTTTATTGATGATCAAAAAATTTCCTGCATGGGAAACTCTTTTTAAGAAAACATAACAAAAACATAACAAACAGGGCTAGTTAATGAGTTTGTCTTCACATTTTTTTTCAAGTGGTAAGTGAAAAAGAGAATAAACCCAGAACAGAGAAGTTCTTCTTTGAACTTGTGTGTTGCATTAAATGTATAATCTGCCTTACCAAACCCTTCTGTATTGTAGTGGATGATGTTGTAGATGAAAGTGATGATAACGATGATGCTGAAACAGAATCAGAAATTGAAACTGAAAATGATGATGACAAAGACCAACATTTTAAGGTTGGTAGAAACAAAATTAATTAAAAAAGCTCCTAAAACTTAAAGTGGGTGCTGCTTGGAAATGTCAACCTTTCTTGTTCAGATGACTTCAAGATTTTTATCAAAATCTGCTTCACACTTAATGTATCTGGAGTATAGTGGAACAGAACTGCAAACTCTTTGGCAGCATTCTGTTCCCCACTTGTATTTCTCTCGGCCTACTTTTCCTACATAAGCTGCTCAGTATGTAGGAGCTGCTGTAACTTTTTTGATAATTCTGGACTGGGATTGACTAGATCAATCCAGTGAAGTGTTTCAGCAAGGTAATAAGTTCAGCCAGCTGCAGAGGTACATTTCAGATCTTTCACTGCTGTACCACTTTAGGAAGTTATTGTCCTGTTCCACCTGCCACTCAGAACATGGATGGATGTTTGGTCAGACCTGCCTTATTTAGTATTTTTATATTACAGATATTTAGAAGTTAATTGAATTATCTATCCATGGACTGGATAAACAACTTTCATTGAAGGATCTGATGAGCTCTGATGAAGAGAATGGCTTCTACAGAAGCAGTATTGCTTTGTCACTGCAGTCTCCACATTCCAAGCTGCAACAGTTAAAATATGCACAGATCTCATGTAAAGTGTATTCTGATATCTGTGTATAATGAATTTGTGTAAAAGCAAGAAAATTGAGATGTTTTAGTATTTCTGTTGAAACAGAGACTTAGGTATACTAATACAACTGAGCTGCTTAAATCTTCCTGGGGAAAGCTGCAGTTCAGCTAATTTTTAAATAAGGGTATTCAGCTTTTAAAGCATGGCTGTGTCAGGTATAAAAGGTGAACGTTTTAGATTAATGTTTTAGAAGTTCATTTATTCTGGATGCAAGATTAATTTGTTCTGGTGATCTTTCAGAATGATGATATTGAGACTGATATTAATAAACTGAAACCTAGACAGGAATTGGGAAGACCCATAGAAGAACTGAAAATGTATGAGCAGTTTTTCCCAGAACTTTCGGAAAACTTTCAGGTAAAGTATGATTCCCAGGACATTTCTTATTATGTCATTATGACATTATTATGACATTTCTTATTAGGTTGACTCTGGAATATGCTTTGATGTTCTTTTTTTGATGGATAATTCCTCTAGTCAAGAAACATGGGTCTGCAGTTCTAGATTTACATATGAGAGTGCTATATACTAAGTAACTTAGTTAAATGTTATGATTACTTTGTTTTGACTGAGAAGGGAACTGTGAGCAGATGTAAGCAAAACTGTTTTCTGATGTTTAATTATTGGCCATGGCAGAAATAAAATAGTAAGAAAGGACATGAGATTTCTGAGAGAGAATCACTGTATTAGGTATTTCCTTAATGCTGTGCACCTATTTAAAATAGGTACATTAACATATTTAAAATAGGTTAAAATATCTGGGTCAATTGCATTGACTTGATACTTTGTTATTGATGAACTACTTGGTTATGGCTTTAAAGCTTTGGTCTTGTAAAAGGTTAACCTTAATTGCTATGACAGCTTATAACATAATAACTGTTATCTTTTAAATTACATTTCTTTTGGATTATTCAAAAACCTCAGGAACAAGGAAAGAGAAATATTTATAATGTAAACAGAATTTAGGAAATGTTTGGTTTTTTGTTAATAATTTTTTCAACTTTATTTTTTAAGGAATGGGACTTAGTTTCCAAGGAACCAAAGCCTTTTGTACCTGATGCAAATCTGAGTGGACCTATTGTTGTTCCTACAGCCAGCGAGGAGCACCCTGCTGAAGGAAACCAATCAGCAAAAGGGATTGCTTTGAAGGAAAGCAATCCTTTATTGACAGAGGAATATAATAGAAGGCCAGTCTTTCTGGAACTACCAAAGAAAGATGGTATGAAAGACAGTAGTTCACATCAGCAAAATGATCAAAGAAACGTGTTTTCATCATGCCAGTGTCTTAGCCAAGAAATTGTAAAAGGCTTAGACAGAATCAGTCTGCAGAACAGTGCGAAAAATGATCAGTATTATGGTCCAGGGTGTGTAGTAAAGAAGGAAAGCAAAGCTAGCCTTACCACACTTGCTTGCAGCAAACCTTGTGAACATGTCTCACCCTGTGGAAGTAGCCTATTTGAAGGATCATCTGTCCAGCTGGGAAAACTGTGCTGCACTGGAGTGGATTCAGAGGAGGAAGAGGATTCCAGATCTAGTTCATCAGGGGAACAAGTCATGCTTGAGGTTTCCGATGTATCATCAGTTCACGACTGTGATCTTTATATTGAAATGGTAAAAACGACAAAATCTATTCCGGAATATTCAGAAGTGGCCTATCCAGATTATTTTGGCCATATTCCACCCCCATTTAAGGAACCTATTCTGGAAAGACCATATGGGGTACAGAGGTGAGTTACCATACTAATTTTTGTTGTTTTTGTTATTGTTCCCTTGAAGAACAGTTTTCTAGGATAAGATTAACTAGATGATCTCCAGAGGTCTTGTTCAACCCTGACCTGTGATTCTGTGGTTACCAAGCCATATTGCACAGTTCACTTTGGCATCTAAAACTATTTTCAGTGAAAAGCAGTTTGAAGGTAGGCGAGTAGGTATTGATCTGTGCAGAACCATAGAGAAGAACACAATCTGATCTGTAATTGCTAACTCTGTAATTCAGTTTCTAAATACTGAAGTTTAATTACTTTAATTTATATGTTCCCTTTCTACCTTCCCACCATCTCCCATTTAAATTTTGCGGTTTGCAAAAAAAATAAACCAACCCACAGAAAAATACCACCAAACAAACAAAAAAATCCCCAGCTGAATGCTCCTCAACGTCTTAGCAAAGACTTCGAAGATGCTTCAGCATCTTTAATAGTTTGAAGATGCTTCAGCTCTTCTCTCTGCTGTGCTAAAAAGCTATCTTTCAGGAAAAGTAGTGGAGAAAGTTAAAAAATTAATACACTGAAGTGTTTGGTTTTGGTGTTTGTAGTATAACAGAATTTAGAGGTAACAAGTGCTGAAAATGCAGTTTAGCGCACAATAAACACAGAGGGAAAGATAAAGCAAACCAACAAAAAACAACACATCAACACACCCATTTGTTTCTTCTCTGAGAAGATGAGGAGTGATGAAGACTGATGAGACTCTTAAGAATAATTTACAGAGGTGGTGTGAAGAGTTGGCTCATATACGTAGTAAGTTACTGTACACAAATGAGCATGTTAGCAGAACATACAATATGAGACCTTGCCACCTGCCTAATTATGAGGCTGAATGCCTTTGACTTTATATTTGTAACTATAACCAACTTAATGAGATTCTTCATGTTTGCGTTTAGATATTAAAATTATTAAGAGATTAAGTGTGTTTAGGTAGTATAATTAAAATCCTTTAACTGTTTCATACATATCATAAAACAGTGATCTTGCCAGTGAAATGAACAAGTGCTGAAAACTAATGACATAATGAATATACCGTTCAATGTTGAAGGAAGAGAATCTTCCCTGTAAGGTCTTTATTAGATAGATTCAGCTGATTAGAAGGGAGATAGTCTAGTCAGGAATCACCTAAGAACTGCATTGTAAGAAAATCTTGCAAATCGTCGTTTTTGTTTTTGTACTAATTAATTATTTTGAAATTTCCTGAATAAAACTGAGTGAAGTCAGATACAATTTGTCATTCCAGTGTTTGTTCTTAGATATAAAGAACTGTAATTACAAACCTTGTGTGGTTATACATAAAGCTGATTTGTAGAACATAAAGATAATTTCAGGGTATATTTTAACTTTAAAATATTTTGATTTTGTTATATTTTGTATGTTGAAAGTAACTTCTTTAGGTCTTCTCTGAAACAAGAATGAAATATCAGATAATATTGCTAACCTTGAATCAAAAATCCTACATCACATTTTTAAGATACACTGTTTTAAGAATTCAGTTTTCTACGAATTACTCAAGTCTTGTTACTTCACCATAACAAACTTCTGAGAAGGGAACCTGTTTAAAAAGGGCTTAATCTTCTTAGGAATTAATATTTTTTAGGAAAGTGGTAAAAATGAGTTTGGTAGGGGAATGGAAAAACTTTGAAGTCTTCTACAAAGCTGTGTCCAAGCTCTTTTGACATTCAGTGGGATTTGATTCCCTTAATCTAAACAGTTAGTTCTACTAATGAGCTAAGTCTTCTTTAGAAAACTAATGGTTGCTTTAATCCATCTGTGTAATTAAGAAAACATGGTGGGTCTAAGGTGTGATTGAGTGGGTTTTCTTCATACTTTTATTAGAGCAACATGGTGTGGGCTTGGGGATTTTTTTTAGTCTTGCATTTTGCTGGGAGATTAAATGGTTTTGAATTTTTGTTTTGGAGTACTTTTAAGTTCAGTAGCATGTAATTATCACCAAATGTCTCACCAAATTATTATTGTTTGGAAAAATGAAATTGATAACAACTGAAGTATTTTATGTCACTCTATGTTTTAGAGAAGAAAATTATGATATAGTTCAATACCCTATAAATTTGGGGTTAAATTCCTACTTTTTTTCTTCCATTCCTTAAAAATTTAGGTTGTTTGTTTGTTTGTTTCTGTACACTTTAGTATTTTCTAATCATCAGGATCCACAAAGGACTAGTCTGTAAGAACACAGGTCACATCAACAGTGTTGGTTCTAGATTGTTTTTTTTTTAATTACCTTGAAATGGCTTATCTTGGCTTTTTTGGAACCTGAAAATGTCTACTACTCCTTTTCCTTTTAGTGTGCAACTTGAATACTGTTTTTTCTTTCCTTTCATATACACATTGATCCTTATAATGGTATTTGAATGCCGTTACTATTTATACAGTATTTATTACGGATTTTCTTTGATGGAGTTTTGTCTTGGCAAAACTCCTGTGATGATAGGAAGTGTTATGACCTTTTAGAGCTGAGGCATGCCTAGATCTGAAGAGTTCTGTAAGATCAAGTGCAAGATGAAAAATCTGTAGTTCTATCGTGAGCTGAACCTGTTCAGATTGTGGTGAGTCAACCTCGTCACAATTTTGTCAGTACACTGGACTTGTGAATTGTTTTCTTTTCCAGAAATTTAAATTTTCCAGTTTAAACTTAAAAAGAGGTGCTAGAGTTGTACTCTTACCTTCTCTTTCTCATTTGTTAACAGTATTTATTTTAATTAAATTGAGAATTTCCAGCATGAATGTACTTTACTGCTCTGTTTCTGTATTCTTCATTGTTAATCTGCCTCCTTTTCTTCTTATTGCAGGTGCTGTGCAAGCTTTTCCACACAGCTCTGCCACTATATTTCATTCTTGAACTGCAACACATTCTTACTTTTCCAAACCAGGACCTAGATACTGCCAGTTGTGCAATGGTTTTATGATCTGGATAAGCATATACCTGCCATTTGGCTGACATCACCAAATTAATTTTTATTTGTTACCTAGTCGATAAATGAACCTAGATCTCCAGAGGTGAAAAGCTAGTTCACTAACACACTCACTGTACGACCTACTCTCTAAAACTCCTTAATTTTGGTTATGGTAGGACTCATATAAGTTACTAATGTTATCAAGTGTTGTCCTGGATTAAAGCATTAACATAAGTAATGTCTGAGTAATTCCTGCTTCTATTATCAAGTATGAAACTGCATTTTTTTTCCATAAGATAAAACCCAGTGGGTTGTCTGCATGAAAACTTAGTTTCCTCACATATAAATATTGGATGCAGTCAGCTGTGAATGCAGGTGTTTAAACCTAAGTACACATAAGTGAGGCTGAGATCTCTCTGAACTATACCACTATCTTCATGTCAACTTTGTTAGTTTTCATTCCTATATGAGTTAATTCCTCATTTGTAATTGAGAAGAGTATGTGAAAATTTGAATGAAAACTTTGCTTTTTATTTTAGGACAAAAATCTCTCAAGATATTGAAAGGCTGATTTATCAAAACGACATTATAGACAGAGTTGTGTATGACCTTGATAATTTAAGGTAAGTATTTACCTTTCTGAAAAGAATATTTGACTCATACTCTAAGCCTATTCTACTTACTCTGTGATATGATTTGCAATATTTAAAGCAGATTTCATTGAAAATTTTATCTGATGTAACAGTGTTTCTGCTATCCAGGCTGTATTTAGAGGAAGATTCAAAGTAGTTTCTGAACTACCAAGTCAGTACTAAAAGAAATGAATTTGTTTTAGTTAAGTTTGTTTTATTAATTTTGGTCCCTTTTTCTACTCATAGTTGTTCAGTACCAGAGGAAGCAGATGTTTTGAAGTTTAATTCCAAATTTGAATCTGGAAATCTGCGCAAAGTTATTCAGATCAGAAAGTAAGATATTTCAACTCTTCTTTTCATACTTTAGGCGTACTATTTCTGCTTCTTAAAAGAAAGATTGATTTATTTTTTTAATCTTCAGAAATGAGTATGATCTAATTCTGAATTCGGATATAAATAGCAATCATTATCATCAATGGTTTTACTTTGAAGTCAGTGGAATGAAAACAGGCATTGGTTACCGGTTTAACATCATCAACTGTGAAAAGTCAAACAGTCAGTTTAACTACGGTAAGATACATTTCCCATACTTCGAAAAGAAATACTTAAAAAATATCTGTGCTAGACATCTCAGCTGTTTCCTTCCCTTCTCCACAGGATCATTAGTATTCATGTTGTCAGTTTACATGGTTTATTTTAATAGTATTGCTAGAAGATGTTTTGACAGCTTCAGTTAAAAACTAAAAATGTGTCTTAAACCATGAGCTACCAGTTTTTAAAGTGAAGTTTTGTTGTTAAGTGAGGCCAAAGTGGAAGAAATTTACTGGTGCAATTAAAAGTGATCCAAGATCATTGGGTGAGGTGGAGAACACCAAAGCCTGTTGATTGACAGAGGTCAGGAAGAATGATATCATAAGTCTATTTCTGCATAGAGGTATATTTTCAGATGCAAAAGTATGTGGAGACATTCTAAAACAGTTTTGTCTTATTGATGGAATGGAAAAATAAGTCTGCTTTGAAATGCTGGGCTTCCTAAGTGACCCTTGCAGTCTTTAGCTTTCTTTAGCAATCTTTAGCTAATGCATGTACCTCATTTAAAAGTACTGGCTTAGTGAATATGCCTTTCTTCCACTTTTCTGGGAGTGTGTATGGGGGATGTGTGTTATTCAGCTTAAACCCATTTGTTTTCTGAAGTTTCTTTTTTTCTTGCTATATATTCTGGAACTTGTCCTTTAAGAAGGAAGAAGAGAAATTCCTTCTCCCCCCCCAAATTCAAACTCTTTGCACAGAGTAATATTGTATTCTTCTTTGCCGTACACATATGTTCACAGTGACCAAGTCACAGGTAGTTTACCAGTGATAAGATGCTTTTAAATTATTTACTAATCCTCATCAATTATCTTAAATCTTCTTCTATGTTGGGTATACTTACTTGATAGTTGCTTTTGGTTTTTTTAAGTACGTTGACTAAATCAGTCAATGGGGTTGGCTAATTACCTAACCAGTAAATGATGTTCAATTACTGTGTATTCTTTTCTCTTTTACTTTATATTAAGTATTCAAATTAAGTATACTATCAAAAAAAAATACATGAAGAGTCAACTGTTAAAAAAGTTGTCTAAAATTTAGTTATTTTTCAGTTATTTATGTGAATGGATAATAGTATCAGTTTTTGTACTCTTTTGAGTTGGATGGATTGGGACCCAGGATTTTTTGTAGATTTCTGTTTATGCTAATCTCATCTTTCATTTAAATATTTCATTTCGGTCTTCCATGGATCTGATTCTTTTCTTTAATTGTTATTTTCTGAAAATCAGGAATCTTTTGCCATCTGGTTGAAAGAGCATACAATACCCAGGCGTTTATGAAAATATACTCTATGATAGTGAGTAAATAAGTATAGGTAATTTGTAGACTGGTATGTAAGTGTTGATGTGGTCCATCACTGCTCAGATCTTTCTGTTTAATGTTAAGCATTAAAGTGAGATGCATATTTTCTCTCAGGAATGCAGCCCCTCATGTATTCTGTTCAAGAAGCACTAAATTCTCGACCATGTTGGACTCGTGTTGGGACAGATATTTGTTACTATAAGTAAGTATGTGAATCAAATATATAGCAAATCTTAACAGAAGTTTAGCAGGAGGTACAATTTTTGAGGAGAGACATTTGTTTCCGCATTTGATAATAGCATTATTCTGCTGTGAACAGAGTTTTCTTCCCAAGTTACTAAGGAGAGTAATAGACATGATAGAAATATACAGGGTCTTATTTTGCAAGCACACTGCTAATATTTAAGCTCTTCATATTTTATACTTTACTCAGAAGTTGCACACTGTTTCAGAGAAGCTTTTAAGGATGTATATATATATATATATATATATGCATGCTTACTGGAAATCTAATTAGTGACTTTGACTAATACATGGTCCTTGTGATGAGCCTCCTGTAATCTGTGGTGCAATCAGTGTAGAGCAATCCTGGCACACAGGATGACATGGTACAGCATATCCATAAGTATTCCTTCTAGGTTGGTAGCTATTTGCATACTTTTTTTTTTGTTTAGTTTTGTTTGTTTTATTGTGTTACTTGTTTTTGTTTGCTCACCTTTTTCCAATGTGGATGAGTGTGTGTATCACTGCTGTAAGATAGGATCTTTACAGCTGGTGGGAATCTGTGTATTAAACCTGGATGTACACAGAAGAGAAATACAATCAGCAGAAATCCCTCTGACACTTACAACGTGTGTTCAGAAATAACAAGTGGTATGAAAAAAATTATTCTAATTTGTATGCTACCTTCATTTTTGCTTTAGGAATCACTTTTCAAGAAGTTCAATTGCTGCTGGAGGTCAGAAAGGAAAATCCTATTACACAATTACGTTCACAGTGGCTTTCCAACATAAAGATGATGTGTGCTACTTTGCTTACCATTATCCATATACATACTCAACTTTAAAGGTGAGAAGATTATGGTATGTTACATAGATAAATATTTATGAGTGTATTCTTTTTGTTTCTTTATATAAAATTTAAAAAGCTCCTTAAAATGGAAAATTTTCATAATGGTAATGTTTAGACTGAAAAGTGTATAGGTTGTTCTAAAAAACAGCCCCTGGAAAAAAAGAATTCATGCTTGCAGGCTAAATTGGTTTTGCAGGAGTCGTAAATATGATTATGGAACTGGAGCGTTTCTTTTACGAGGAAAATCTGAGGGAACTGGGTCTTTTCAGCCCAAGAAGAGATGACAGAGAAGACAACTCATCAATATATATTATATCTGTAAACATCTGAAGGGAGGGTGTCAGGAGGACAGAGCCAGGCTCTGCTCGGTGGTGGCAAGCAACAGAACAAGAGGCAACAGGCAGAAACTGATGCCCAGGGAGTTCCTCCTTAATATGAGGAAGAACTTCCCTACTGTGCAGGTGACTTTGCACTGGAATATGCTACCCAGAGAGGTTGTAGAATGTCCTTCACTGGGGATATTCAAGAACCATCAGGACACAATTCTGTGCCATTTGCTCTAGGATGGCCCTCTTTGAGGAGGGAGATTGGACCAGGTAACTCACTGTTGTCCCTTCCAACCTTACCCATTCTGTCATTGGTGCTAATTGGATGAAGTATTTGTGTTTGAGTCAAATTTGGGTCAAATGACTTGTATCCTGCTGTTCTACATCTACTTCTTGATAACTGAAGTTACTATAATTAAGATAATCTCACTAATCTCACACTTGATACACCTTCCTGGACCTGGGACCAGTATGCATACTGGCTGGGTAGTCCACCTTGGAGTTTGCTAGCAAATTGCACATGCACTTCCCCTTACGCACCTGCTGTCGGGAAAACATGTATTGCTTGCCTTCCACCTCTATCAGTTGGTACCAGGCATGTGGGCTTGTAATCCATGTTACTATTCTAGGTGCTGGCGCTGAGAAATTAGCCCTTATCACACCACCAGCTGTGTTTTGGGGACACACTGTTCTTCCTTCAGTGGCTGGACACCAACACCCTTTACTCAGTGCAGTAACTGGCTCTGAGACACTTTTAGTGCTGATACCACTGACTGAAGGGTGCCTGCAGTGTCTACAGCTCTGGCTGCTGGGGTCTGCTTTGATTCCAACAGCAGCTGGGGCATGGGACACAGAGTCTCTGGTATCCACAAAGATGCTCCCAAGAGATGTGTCCTCTCCAGCTACTGATACTGAGACACTTGTTCACTCCCAAACCCACCTACACCTGTTTTGTTGTTTGCACTATTCTACATAGCACTTGCATGCTAAGGAGAGAGAGATAGCTAAAGCGTCCTGCAGGGATAAGGTGCCTGATTTTTGTATGGTACTGTAGCCCTCCTCTTGAATTTCCTTAATCCTCAGGTTCTCTTCTTTCCTTCTTGTTCCTCAGGTGACTCTTCCTAATCTTTGTCTGTAGGTTCTTAATGGCCTGTCAGTGAGAGACTGGTGACTTTGATCTTTGCTTTAGTTTCTGTTGTCTCAGCTCTCCATTGCTGTTTGTTGATTCTTCCTTTACTTGTTATCACTTTTTGCAGTGGAAAGGTCTCTTATCAGATAACCTTATTGAAGCAGAGGTTCTTACCTTCCATTTACCCTCACAGTAACATCTGTGTACAATAATGTACCCTCTCTGCCTTCATCCTTCTTGAATCAGTTGGAAGATCAGAATTTATAAAGAGAAGTATTCAATCAGTCAGAGAATGATACTTCATGGTCAAAATTATGATGGAAACTTGAGCATTGTTTAGAACAATAAAAAGAAAGATCTGTTAAATAGTACCTTGAAGTATGCTGTCACATGTCACTGCAAGGGATTTGAAGTATTTTTTCATTATTTTTTGGATGAAGATGCATCTTCAGAAGCTGGAATCAATGCACAACCCTCAACAGATATATTTTAGACAAGATGTTCTCTGTGAGACACTGGCTGGCAACAGTTGTCCATTAATCACTATTACAGCCATGCCAGAGTCCAGTTACTACGAACATATCTGTCAGTTCAGTAAGTATGAGCTTCTCTTTATCATCATCTGAAAATAATGATAACCAAGATATTTATAGAAAAAACATTAGCATTAACTGCTGTGCATTGTAAAAACAGCAATGTAAAATAAGGTTAATAACTTCATTGAGATTAAGAGGCATCAATAGTCAAGATTTGCTATCTATTTAGTAATATTTATTTGTGATAGTCAAAGTTATTTATATTTGGAAATAAAGAGTATATATTAATATATTTAAAATTTTTGTTGCTAGGTGTTTTTGTGTGTTACATTTTGCAGACAACACTTCTTGGAAAAGAGTGCCTGATGAGTAACTTTTTTCTCCAAATGCTGAGGTTGTTTGCTTGTCAAAACATGTTTCTTAAAGCCAATATATAAGCTACTGTGATGTGAAGTGAGCTTTAGTTGTAATAGCATTCTTGATTTGTTTGTCCACCCCAGTGTTTTTCTTGGCTATTGGGAAAAAGTCCTGTCATAAGTGCCACTAGTCATGACTGTATAATTATCTGATTGAATTTAAAGCTCCACTGTGATAGTTCTATAATTAGCAGTCCTTTAAAAAATATTGTGACAAGCTCTATCAATAATACTTGTACTCAGTAATACTCAAATCAGAAAAACTGGGGTTTTTGCATTGTAATAGATGTAGCTGGCTATTAGCTCTTTTTTTCAATTTAACAAACTGTTTACTTAGCTTAAATCATATTTTGCAATTTCTATACATACTTCTTTTAGGGAATCGTCCTTATGTTTTCCTGTCTGCACGTGTACATCCTGGAGAGACTAATGCAAGCTGGGTTATGAAGGGAACACTGGAATACCTTATGAGTAATAGTCCAAATGCGCAGTGTTTACGGGAATCTTATATTTTTAAAATTATTCCCATGCTCAATCCAGATGGTGTCATCAATGGAAAGTAAGCATACATTTACTTACAAATACGTAGCCTGTACTACTAATTCTTTACATCATTATTTAAAAAAGAATAAAGTAATCCTGGAAAGATACAAATGCAATACTTAATGAGATAAAATCCAACAAACACTTGCAATATTGCTCAGACTTTTTCATTTTTTTACCTTTTAAAAGGTGGTTGCATTGTGTCATGAATTTCGGTTTTATAAAAAATATTTTTAGCTTTCTATGAATAATAATCATTGCTATGTGATTTGACATGACATTTTAATTGTCTCTCTGACAGCAGTCTCGGATATGTGTAACAGTGTTATATGAGACCACACCTGGCATTAGGAAAAGCTAAACAAATTCCCAATCCTAATGAAAAAAAAAAAAAAAGCCTTGTACTTGAGAAAGCTTTTTACATTAGTATTTTTTTTTGGCTATTGTCAAATGTTGTTAAAAATGGAAAGTTAATAGGTGTTCAGGAGAAAGAGTAGGAGAGTATCCTGGTTTGATTAAGTTTTAAGTATTTCACTTACTGCTACTTTTCTTAATAGATTTAAGGGATATTTCAGAACCTTTTGAAACCGCTATGAGTAAGCATTCAGAAATCTCCATTTACTTGGTTACAGGGATTCAAAAGAAATGGAAATTTTGCTGTGATGAATCCACAGTTTCTTCCCATCTAGTTATGGGTAATATTTTAAAGATTTAGTGAACAAAATAATAAAAAGAAAACCAGTTATGGATTTCAGTAGAACTCTGTCTTTATAAATGTAAGAACATGTACATACTAAAACATCTGTAATGAAATAATTCAGGATACAGGGACAGTTAAGAAATATATCCCAGCAGACACAGTCTAAAGGCATATGTAGTGAAGATGACTACACAGTCATGAATTTCTGCAAGTTTAAAAGTTCTTGCTGATAGTTGACAATGAGGAGATGATCTTTGTTTGCTGGGTTTTTTGTTTGTTTGTTTTCTTTCTTGTTTTTCTCACAGCTCCTTGTCTCCTAACAATTTCGTGTTTCACGTATTAGATTTCTAGTTGACATTAGTCTTTAAATTACAGAAGTCAAGACACCAAAACTGTAAATATACCTTATATTTGAAATTACTGATTTTGAACTAGCATTTGAATAGAATTGCAAGCCTTCAGTTTCAACAGCAAATAAACAATATAACATAAGAAGCTACTTCTAATTTATTTTAATTTCTCTGTAACATAACTTAAAACACCCCAAACTAAAAATGCTATTATATGGCATGTTAGAAAATTGAAGTTTGTTTCTTGCCAGACTCCTTCCAAAGAAGCAGTGGTGATGAGGATATCTTGAGGTGGGGGGGAGGCTTATTTAAAAGTATGATAATACAGACTACATCATGCGTTTTTCCACCCCCCCGCAATAGCCACCGTTGCTCTTTAAGTGGAGAAGATTTAAACAGACAGTGGCAAAATCCAAATCCAGATCTGCATCCCACTATTTACCATGCTAAAGGGTTACTGCAATATTTGGCTGCTATAAAACGTTTACCTCTGGTAAGTATGTGTGTGTAAGCAATTCTGAACCTTTTTAACTTTATCTGTATAGCTAGTCTATAAGTTAAACACTTTAATGTGGTCTTGTAAACCATGTCACACTTAAATTTGACTTGGAGAACTGGTCTTCTGCAAACCTGTAGATGTAAATCTGTTACATTGGCTAGGTTAGAAGGTTAAACCTTCCTTAGACGAATCCCATGTTTTTTGTCATAATATGCAAGTTAATTATACAAGGAAGTGTGTTGCCTACAGTACAAATATAATTTTAAAAAATTGCCTTCCATTACTTTCATAAAATGTTAACTATATATGCCTTGGTTTTATTTTGCCAAATGATTTATTGTAGGTCTACTGTGATTATCATGGTCATTCTCGTAAAAAGAATGTATTTATGTATGGCTGCAGCATCAAAGAGACCATGTGGCATACGAGTGTTAATGCTGCCTCTTGTGACCTGACGGAAGACCCTGGCTACAGGGTAAGTTTGTCATTTGTACCTCTTTCATTGGGCATGGATTTGGAATATACTTTTCAAATAACTTCCTCATAATATCTTGTGCAAATAATGACTCTGTAGCATAAGCAGACTTATTTAAAATTATCTCCTTTTAGTTTATGAGTGTACTTTTAATTATTTTGAGAGCTTTAAATATTTCACAGAGTGCTTAATTTTTTTTTGTTGTTTCTTTGTACCAGTAAGTGCTTTTTTTTGGTGTGTTTAATATTGCCACTAGAGACAATAGGTGGAAAATATGCCTCTGTGCATTCATAATTACTGGATGAACGTATAGTCATTTAAGCATGGCAAACAATATTCTAGCAACAAGAAAATAAAGATACAGGATTGTTCTGAGGAATACTCATTTATGTGTATGGAAATAGGCAAGATTCCTCTTATACAGATTTATAGATAAGGCATATGCCCCTAATTAAATATACATAATCAACTTCCACAAAAGCATCCACTGCATTATATAAACTTTCAAAAATGTCAAAAACTTAGAGGACTGCATGTTACCTGTTTCTTCTGTGAATCTCTGCTGCTGCCTTGTGGCAACCGCAAAGCCGTGCAACCTGAATGCATCCAGGCCCGCTGGGTTTTTTGAGGAGATGCAGAGTTAAGCTCGAAAAACATGGGAATGTGTGATAAAAGGCTTGTTATACATCCATGAATGTAATCGAGTACAGATGCTTTCTTTACTCCCTCATTTACACAAAACAAAATGTATCACTTCATGATTTTCTTGTGTGATTTCCTGGATGCTGAGTCGAATGCCATTCACGTCTGCTGCTGTAATACATTTATATGGGGTTTTGTCACTTCAGCCTGCACTAGTATACTGCACAGAAGACAACAGTCCACAAGAGTTGTGGGGAAAAAAGCCTTTTGATTTCAAAAAGGTGGACTGAAATGTTTGGGCAAGGTTACACTCCTAACAGTGTGTGTACTACTGAAATAATAAATTTGAAGCAGTCATGTGTTTTGTCTTAACTGACACAAACAAAAGCTGAAAAGAATAGTCATTTAGCATTAGTCAAATGCACATATTTGCATAACCATTCCTTGAAGCTGTCATGTAAACAGTTATACTGAACTTTGATTCACATTCTTAAAGTTAAATATGCACCTAGTGCTTTGCTGTATACAAATTAATTTTATGTATTAATAAAGTACTGTTTTTATTAGGTCTGTAAATGGGATTGTTGAAACAGTCTGAAACTGAATTAAATAATTTTATACAATGTGTGGTACACTTAATTTAAGCAAGCTTAGCTTGGTGAATTAGGGAGAAGATGAACAGTTGAAGAATTCTCTTGTATCCTGATTCTTACCCACATGACTAACCATTTTAACGACTGAAGCTGAAAAAAAAGAATTTTACTAAGTAGGAAAAGGCAAACCTGAAGACACTGTTTTTAAAACTCAATATGGAGATTTATTTTCTTGTTACTTTAATTCAAACTGCAGTACAATTTTCTCATAACACTTTGTGATTACATGACCCCCTCTTGCCTCCTTCTATAAAGGAAATAATTTCAAACTGCTATCCTGCAGGCACTCCCCAAGATCCTGAGTCAGATTGCTCCAGCATTCTGCATGGGCAGCTGCAGCTTTGTAGTAGAAAAGTCCAAGGAATCTACAGCACGAGTTGTTGTCTGGAGAGAGATAGGAGTACAAAGGAGCTACACAATGGAAAGCACATTATGTGGATGTGACCAGGGCAAATATAAGGTAAGAAGATATATCAGTTAAACTTTTCTTTCTTTTTAATTTCTTCAATTTGCGTCGGTATCTTATTCTATAACTCCATTTGCTTGCTTGCTTGCTTTAACTTCTAAAACCTTCTAAGGTCTGGGCACGCTAATGGCAGGATGAAATTACATAGCTTGCAATATATATGCTTATGGGCTGTTTTAATAAGATAGAGTGTAGTGGCCAGTCTTCGCGAACGAAGAACCGGGGAAGGTCTTTACACCTTCCAGCCTGCGCATTGGATTTTTTAGGTGAGACACAGTGTGCGCGGAACTGAGCCCACCCTTTAATCCTGAGGTTCATCTGCCAGGGCCAAGTGAGCTTGGACGGTGGCAGCGAGGTCCTCAGGACGTAGATGAATTGCCTTACGGGCTAACGAGCTCCATCTGCCCGGGGAGTGTCCTGACCGGGAATCGAACCCGGGTCTCGGCGTTGACAGCGCCGCGCTTTAACCACTTGACCACCAGGGGCTCCCCCTAACAAGATTAATAATAATCATTGCTTGTAACATGTATGCATGTAATTAAAAAACCTCAGAACTGTTCTGTCCAATAGATTATTAAGATTGGGTAATAATCAATGCCAATACTATAATAAAAATTTCCTTAATATGTGGCAGTTTCAGACTTCGCCATGGCAGTTCATGATTCTTCAGCAGGTATTTAGTAGTGTCCCTCACAGAATTTTCCTATGTAGCTGAAGAAACAGGCTTATAAGTCAAAACACTTCCATATCAGGTTACCAGCATTATAAATTGCACATCATCTCTGAACTCGTCATAGTTATTTGAGTTCTTGACTTAAAATTCCTTTTCATTTTCTCAAAAAATGTTAAGAGGGCTGGGTATTTGAAAACAAAATGTGACCCTGTTTTTAGTGTGTCAATAGTAGACAGCATTCATGGAAGAAGTTGGTTTCATCTACCTGAAAATAGAGCTTAGGAATGCTAATCAAGAAAATGATCACAAGCCTGAAATAAGGTGCTTGACAGAAAGAAGATCAGAAGGCTGGGATTAAGGATAGCGTGGGACAGAAACAAAAAAAAGTTAGAACAAGGTATATTTAGTATATTAATGTATGCTCCAACATCCGTGCTTGTCTCCCTAGACACCAGGAAGACAGAAATTTTGGCAGGAATTTTGGTAGGTCTGTAAGTACTAAATTTTGTCAATTAATACAGAAGCATTCCTGCTGTTGTCAGAATATTCCATTGTTCTTCAGATGACATCATTATGGAGCTTTAAAAAAAGATAACTCATCCAACTTGATTATTTTGAAATTTCAAGAATGTTGTTAAACATGAATTTCATGCAGTGTTGCTATAGAAAGTACTTAAGAAAAGTGAAGAGCTTTGTGGACAAACTTTAAAGATGCTTAAACCTCCAAAGCCCTTCTTCATTGATGAAGGAAAAAAATCACTGAATTCTGTGGAAGAATCATTTACTGAAAAGGGAAGAGTATTCCTCTGTGTAATGTAAACTAGGTGATGAGATAAAATTGCTGTTCTGCCATTCATTTTATTTGGAATAAAACAGTTTGTGAGATCTTAGTCATCCTATGAACATACAGGAAGATTCTTTTTCTTCACTGGGATAATGCTCAGACTTACTAAGAGAATATGTCTAAAAAGCCAAGTTGACTGGACTGAACAAGAGAAGAGCAGAATTTCTCCAATGAGAATCTGAAAGAGATGAAAAGGCTCTGGCTTGGGAGTTTTTTGGGGGGTTTTGTTATTTGGGTTTTTTTGTGGAGGGAATGCAGTCAGCAACTCTGTCAATAAACTTGGGGTATAAATTAAATGACCTATAACATGTTATTTCAAAACAGAAATTGAGCTGAAGAAATTCCTTCCCCTCCTGCTTCCCATCCCAAATGACATGAGAGTTCAGACTCTCTGATACACGAACTGGACTGTGTAAAGGTCTGAAGCACTTTTGCAGTCTTATTCTGGTTTGGCATCATTGCTGAATTTTGTTCAAAGCACTAAGAGGATTACTGAACAATTCAGTTCTTTGTGAATAAATACTGAGTCTTTGCCAAAGCTGGATAATATCTGAACATCAGTTTTTCTTTTTATTCTTTCATTTTACTTGGACAATAGTGATGCTAGACTGTTTCCTGCCAGGAAGCTGTTGAATCGAAGTTAGCAATTCTTACCTGAATTTAGAATCTCTAGTAACAGAATATCTCTGGAAGCAGTCTTTTTCTGACTGGTTGCATGGAGTCTTTGTAGTGCATTGAGAATTAGTGCTGCAAATACTGCTCAGTCATCTGCAATTCAAGATATTGAAAAAAAACTTTAAGGCAAAAAGATTCTCCAAGATTTACTATGGAGCATAATTAGTATGGCAGACAAAAGAACAATGTTTTCAATAATTTAAGCCACCTGAAAACTGAGATCAATCCCTTTCGTGATTTGACATTATTGACTTTGGGAGTATTGATCAGTTTTTAAGTTAATTGAAAAGATTTTTTTATGTGGAAATTTTCTGATGTACATGAAGAGAAGACTTTAGGAAATAAGGGTTCAGTCAACAAACTTCTCAGTTACCATGATTCTTCTGTCTTTAGATTTTGAGTTCTCAAGAATGATTATGTCTTTGTAGCCTCTGCTGAATAGCAGCACAGAAGATCAACATGATGTTTTGATGTCCAGCTGACTTCTCCAAATCTTAATTTGGTTAAGTACATATTACAGAAACATTCTTCTGAACTTGAGGTCACAGTTTGTCGGGCCTTTGCTTTGCGTCTTTGCTTTCATGTAGCAAAGTTAATCACTGAGGCACTCTATTCATGTGAAGGTATCTTCATTGCACAATTAGTAAGAAAAGACTTCAACCCTCTATCTAAAATTTTACTGTCTAGAGGAAAGACAATTGTATAAGATGTAAAGGAAAAGGAATGACATGTAGCACATGTTTAAAAAAAAAAAAAAAAAGGCAGTGTACTTCCAGGTGGCTTGTGCTTAAAGGCAACGTCTTTAACAGAGCACAGTTGAAAGTGCTAGAACAACAGCTGAGGATAATTACAAGATCAGGAAAAGAAGAATAATCATGGCCTCAGTGAAACTGAACTTCACCTCAGGTCCCTTAGTGAGGGCACTGATGACGATGATTATTATTATTTCCTGAAGCATACTTTGAGTCTCTTGTTTCATGGAAATATGAGGTTTGGATGCTGGAAGAATAACAATGGATTAAGAAATTAAGTATTTGGCAGTTTTGTGGTATTGCATTCCCCTTATCATTTAAAGAAATGAGAGAAGTAAATCTAGATTTTACCATGGGCTTTTACCGCAATTATGTAGACCCTTCAGGGTAGTAAGTTCAAAGTTTGTTCTCCCAGTGTTCCACAGTTATCCACCTCTGATCTGATCCGTTTAGTTTTCTCTTTAGTTATATCCTATTTCTGCTGTGCTGAAAATAGCAGCCATGGAACACGCGCACGCTATTTATCTTTCTAACAACTGCCTTTGCACTTTCTATCATGCAATACTCTTATTCCTTTTTCAACTTAGAGAGACTCCTGTTATACATATCCTGTCTGTAAGGAACCTACCAACTAATGATAAGTTCTTCAACAACAAATCTAGACACTGGAAAAGTTTCTGGAACCACCAAGTTGTGCACATTAGTAATTTGTGTAACAGTGAGATAGATTACTGTTACCCTTCTCCTTCCTCTTCTGCATACTTGTTGCCTCTTGTCCTTAATGTTATTTTAATCTCTTTAGGGCAGGGACTGTGTCTTCCTGTGATTAGCATAGTGGAGCCCCAGCTATGATTGGGGCCTTCGAAAGTTAATGATGTGCAAACAAATACAAAACAAAAACAAAAAATTGGCCTCTGTGGATAAGGTACTACACTGAGTGAGGAGAACTGATTTCTGTTCCCAGCGGGGTCAGTGACATGCTGTGAGACACTGTGCAAATCGCTTCAACCCTCTCTGCCTCCATTTCTCCATCAGTAAAGTGAGGATAATTCTTCCTTTATTAATAAGTGCTTTGAAACCTACAGCACAAAAGCATTATAAAAGAGGTAAGTAGCATTACTATTAAGAATAATACTCAAATATCCAACTCTTCTTCACTGCTAACAGGTTTCAGTACCATTTGGCTGGAGGATGGCACTGTTTAGAATGGTGGATATAGCTTTATCTTTCTTGTTGCTGTAAAGCACCTTGTTTGTGAAGACTACCAAGGGAAAAAAAAGAACTCAGAAGAAAATCAAACTTTTTATCTATTGATTGTGTGTATGTTCAAAACAGTACATGAACAATGTGTGGGCTTGACCATTTCTGGAGCAACGTGCTTTCTTTTAAACTTTGCATTTTAAAATGCATTTTCAGTGCGGCAACACATACAAAGCTTTTTTTTAGCTCTTGGTAAAAAATTTCCTACTCCATTCTTTTTACTTCATGTATTTTTCCTACTTGATGACTTACCTTACCACAATTCCTGGCTCCTCTGCTTCCCTGTTTGTCTTGTCTTGCTTCTTCTTAACTAATCTTTACATTAAGAGGTTTAGGAGATCCAAGCTAAAATCCTTTTAAATTCTCCAGAGATACAGAAGTTGTGAAGGGGGAGATGGAGCTGGGTTGTGCCATTGAATTTGCTAGTGTATATACAGTTAGTGCTAGCCAATTCCATATCTGTTGAGGGTCTCTTTAAACTATGCTCTTTTCATATGACCTCATAAAGAGGTCAGAGGTTATGTCTCTATATACTGCACTCCTGACGAAGTTAAAAGTGTAGAGTTATCTGATGGGAGGCTTTATCACATATATGAACTTAGAGACCATTATAAAAGTTCTACCTCCTAAATAGTCTGCAGAGGAAAATGCCTGGGTATATCATTGAAGTTAGAAAGCAGCTATGGCCTTTGATAATCTGTTTTCTGGTTTTAATTACTAATGTGTGAAAAAATGCTTTCAGAATTAACACATGTAGCCTCTAACTTATATGGGGGAAGAGATCTGTGTCAAGGAGTTACTTTGATGTCTAAAATAGTCATATCTATGTGTCAGAACATAGCAAAGAACTTCATCACAGCTACAATATGAATTTTCTCTTTTTTCATTCCTATTAATGGAACTTACATTGGAAAATCTTGTATTCGAAATTAATTTTTATAAATTTTGTATGAAGTTTTTAAAAATTATTTATGCTTAAAAATTTGGACATGGTCACTGTCTCTCTTTGAATGCTACTAGGTAAAGATCTGTTAATACTGATGTGCTAGAAGTGTAGACTAGAAAGCTCCAAAAAATATTGGTGTCTCTGTTCAGACTTAGAGGAATCAGCTAGTTATTTCTGAGTCTTTTCTGAAAATTTTTTTAAGAGTTTACTCTACAGTTCTTATTTGTTCTGTCTTTAAACCAAGAGAATGTACAGAATAAAATAGCAAAGTATTGACATAGAGTGATTCTGCAGCATCTGTGGGTCCATCTGCATGTACCTATTTTGTGTTTTTTTAAATCTCTTTTTCAAATTAGGGATTGCAGATAGGGACAAGGGAACTGGAAGAGATGGGAGCAAAATTCTGTGTTGGCTTACTGCGTTTAAAAAGAATGGCCTCATCCTTGGAATACAATTTGCCTTCTAGTCTGTTGGATATTGAAAATGAGCTGATTGAGTCAAGCTGTAAAGTGACAAGGTAGTACACATTTATTATATTTTTTTTCTTTGGGGGAGGGGGTAAATTGCAGTTTCTCAAGTGACGTAAAGATTCTTTAAAAAATGTTCTTCCACTCATCAAAAATAGTATTTATGTGTTGTGACCTCTTACTGTAACAATAATCTGAATATATTGGAGACCTATTGTGCTAATTCAGTTGCTTCAAACTTTGAAGGAAAGCAATACAGGCTGAGTTATACGATGGGTCACATTTATTGCTGGGATAAACACTGGCAATTTTAATGTCATTACAGGGTTATTATAGGTCATAAAACTCAGTAGTAGGTCTTAAGTCTCAGTTGTCTCTTTGAAAGTTTGGGGGTTGTTTTTGGTTTGGTTGTTTTGTTTTGTTATTAGTGGCTACAGTCTAAAAAACGTGTTTAAATGGACTTTAAGTATAGGAGTTAGAGCACTAATAACTGTAAGTTTTTATTCCAAACATTTTTTTTCCTGTTTCTCCTCTGGTGGAAAAATATAACACCACCAAGAAAATTTAAAACATGAGAAATAAAGTTTGGGTCACAAAAGAAATTTATATGCTGAGTAGCTAGGTTATTAAGTTGCCAGTTCTTACAGATATAGACGGACTTGCAAATGTATGCATATTATTCCATGTTTCCATTCATGTAATTCATCACTCAAGTACATGGTAACAAGGGATGCACAGCAAAGTGTGATTTCAAATGTGCAAGCATCTCTTTATGAAAATATGGTTAAAGAACTAATAAAGCAAAGTTCCAGACTTCAAAAAAGCATTACACTGGGAAAGAGTAAGGTTTACAACTATAATATTTCCACTTGGCATACTAAGAGATGAAATATTTTTATAGTGTCTTGGCTGTAGCTCCAACTTAACTAAAACAATACAGTGGAAATCTAGGAAAAAATGAAATTTATTACTGTTTTTATGCAGTTGACACAAGGAAGTGCTTGAAACGAAGACTTTCTTTGGAAGTAAGATTAATGAGCAATTTATCTGTAGATGGTAAAAAACTAGCAGAGCTATGGGAGGCCGTCTATGACACCCTATCGAAGGGGAAGATTATGTTCATTTCCAGCATTAAAGTGTTACTGGAATGTTGAGTACTAATTAAAACTGGAGTTTGTGTTCATGCTTAGCATTTATAGTTAACGATGAAAACTGAAGTAGAAGCTAAAAGGTGATACGAACAATAGGAGTAACAGTAGGAGAGTGTCTTAGGGGGGTGAATAAAAGTGTATGAAGATTAGCTGTGATATGTAGGTATCTCTCACTCCAGTGGTGGTTGGATCCCCCAGTGTCATTTGCTCATTAGTATGACATCAGGATGCTTGTAATGGCTGGATTTTTACTGTTAGAAAAAGGTTGTGCTTGGATAAGGGTGAGTTAGTGATTCCTGAAAGAGACAGAATCAGAAGGCAGCTTTGGACTAACCAAAGAGGGGCTTTTTTAAGTAAGTAGTGAAAGGAACACTAGGGAAAATACGGCATCACAGATGAATGGGGCAGGAGCCCTGGTGACACAGGACATGAAAAAGGCTAAGGTACTTCATTGCAGTCTTTACGAGAAAGACTAGAAAGTTCAGCTTTCAGTACTCCAAGGACCCAGAGACTGGGGAAATTCTGGAGCAAGAAAGGCTTATACGTGGTGGGAGAAACAGTTTGGAGAATACTTAGGCAAACTAGTCTTACGTAAGTCCAGAGGTCCTGCTGCACCCGTAAGTACTTAGGGAGCTGACCGATGTTGGTGTGAAGCCATTTTTGAATGATCATGATGACTGGGACAGGTGCCCAAAGACTGAAGGAAAGAAAGTATACCTATGAACAAGGAGGAGGATGCAGGAAACTACAGGCTGGTCAGTCTCACCTTGATCCCTGGTAAGGTGATGAAACAGTTAATTCTGGACAGTATTTCCAGCCACACGAAGTGATCACTAAAGAGGAGAGTAGTCACTGAAGGAAGGCATACTTGACCAACCTAGTAATCTTCTACAACGAAATGATTGGCTTGTTAGACATGGAGATAAAGTGGATATTGTCAGCCTTGATTTCGGTAAGTTTTTTGACACTGTCTGCCATGAAATCCTTATAGAGAAGTTGGTGAAGTATGGGCTGGATGGGCAAAAAGTGAGATGCATTGAAAAACTGACTTAATAACTGAACCCAGAGGACAATGATCAGTAGCACAAAGTCTAGCTGGAGGCCAGTAACTAGCTTTGTACCCGTGGGCACTATACTGGCTCCTGTCCTGTTTAACATCTGCATTGTTCCATCCAAAGTATCCAGATGACACCACAGTAGAAGTGGTTGATCCAGTGGAATCTTGACAGGCTGTAAAAGTGGGCTGACAAAAATTTCATGAAGTTCAGCACTGAGTGTGAAGTCCTGCACCCAAGGAGGAACAAACCGATGCACTAGTACATTGTGGGGGCTGACCAGCTGGAAAGCAGCTTTGCAGAAAAGGCAATGGGGGTCACAGTCAAGACCATGACCATAGTTGAACATAACCCAGCAATATGCCCCTGCTTCAAAGAAGGCTAATGATATCCTGGGCTGCATTAGGAGGAGTTTAACATGGTGGTTCAAAAATATGATCCTTCCCCTCTCCTCAGCACTGGCAAGGCCTGCACAGCTGGACTATCGTGTCCAACTCTGGGTTCCTCAATACAAGAGTGCCCTGGAGAGAGTCCAGTGAGGGCCCCCGAAGATGGTGAAGGGATAAATGTACCTTCTGTAAGAGGGAAGGCTGGAAGAGCAGGGACTGTTAGTCTGGAGAAGAGAAGGCTCAGGAGGCATGTTATCTATGTATACAAATACTTAAAGGGAAGTTGTAAAGAAGATATAGTGGGGCACTTTCCAGTGGTGTCTGATGACAGGCTAAGAGGCAATGAGCACAAACTATAGAGGAAATTCCAGTTAACCATTATATACATATAATGGTCTGCCCTAGTTATCACCAGGACAGGGTTAATTTTTTACAGAAGCTGGAAAGGGGCAAGGCCAGACCCTTCTGTTATTCAATACCATCTCATGTGACTTGCCAGGGTTGGGAGTAAGGGATTTTCTCTTTTCCAGCTGGGAGGAGAGAAGGCATGACTTGGTGTTTCACTTTCCATGTAAGATGTTTCTTTGTCTTGTACCTTTTCATATCTCTTTGCTGTTTCCAGTGAATTGTTCTTATTTCAATCTGAGCAGAAGGGAATTGGGAACAAGCAAGCAGCATCTAGTTTGGGAGAGTCTTGCTGGGGGGAACTGAATTGGAGAGTAGTGTTCCTAAACCACAAGAAATGGTTATCTGTACTTTTATTGTGAGGATGCTCAAACAGTGGAACAAGCTCTCCATTGAGTATATAGAGTCCTTAATGCTTGGGATGCTCAGAAGCTGTCTGGATGTGGTCCTTTGCAACCTGCTGTAGGTGGCCCTCCTTGAATAAGGGTGTTGGACAAGATGACCTCCAGAGGTCTTGTCCAACTTCAGGCATTCTCTGAAAAGGGGGAAACATCTTTAGGTCTATTCTCAAAAGACATGTAATGCTGGTATCATGGGCACTTCAAATTAAAGTGCTAATTTAAGTAACTAGAATACTAGGTTCTAAAAATCACAGTCTATTTGCATTTGTCTTCCTCAGAGCTTACACAGCCAATCTCCTGTTCCCTTGGCATGTTTTCCCTCCAGTTCCAAATGGAAAAGGCTAGACTAAACGTAATACTAATCTTGTATTAAGAATTATAGTTGTTGTGCTGACAGGTTTGTTAGGGTCTGTACACAATGAAACAAAAACATGTGACTGCAATCATAACTGTTAGGACTTACTAGACTTATGCTTTGCTCAAAAAGATGACCTCCTTTTGGAAATTCTTGTCACGTCAATGATTCTTTTGAGGCTTATTGGTGTGTTCTAGAACACGGTATGGTTTTGTTTGTTAATTTGATTTAATTATAGCAGTGAAGCAGTCTGAGCTTTGGGACTCAGCATGTCTAGGAAATGGTAGAAAAAGCAGACAGCCAAAAGGAGCTGTGGGAAGGGGAAAACTTGATGAAAAATTAATTTCCTGTCCTTACTCTTACACTCAAGAAAGCACAACTGACTGGTGAGGCAAGGAGTAAGGGGTATATACAGTGAGAGTGTGTCTGAGGTCTTGCAAAGCATTTTTCTCTAGGCAGTTGGAAGGAAACCAGATTTGTCCTGTTTTATTTCCCTCCCCCTTAATAACTCCTAAACTTTGCCCAGGCATTTGCATACATCTTATCTCCTTCTTCTAGGGGTAAAAATTTTTTCTTTCTTACTCTGCTGCAAGGTCTGAGCTTTTCCTGGCCTTTTTTTCAGTACCTTAGAAGTACCACTTTGTTAACAACATGGCATCTTATGCTGCAGCTTTTGTGCTATGTCCCTTTCAAAATGCTGGGAAAAACAGCTATTAAAAATGAGACTCAGAATTCCACTGGTGGGCCTGGTAGCAGTGCCCATGCACCAGGCCCCTTCTCTGGCCTAAATTAAAGTGATTGCTTTTAATTCTGTGTAGATTGTAGCATCAGAGTACTGTTTGTCTTGTATAGGGCAAAATAAGGAAATTAGTAATCTAGAAAAAAATCCTAAACAAGTAAAAAAAAGTAAGTATAATGAACAAGTTTTATATTCCCCATACCATTCTTTAAGCTTTTCTTTTACTCCTGGTGGTATGATCCAAATATTACAATGGGCTATGTCCAGTGATTGATGAGTCCCAACTAATTTGATTCTGTTTTGAGTATCACCAAATGTATTACAGGGTGGCAGCACAAAGAAAGTGTGGAGTAAAACTTTGTAACTCTAAAAATGAAAATACTAAAAAATACTACTTCAGTGGGATTTGGATATCCAGCTTCTTAGGGCTTAGAAAAGAGTTGCACATATTCTCCTCTTTAGCCTTGGAAATTCCCATGAGAAAATACCCTTACTACTTACAAAAAACATGTAGAGGAGAGCTGCTGAAGGGGATAGCACATGAAATTGCATGTG